CGCCGAATTTCGTCCTCGGCGCGAGCGGCGGGTTTGAAAAAGTCATCGCCGGGCTCACGATCCGCGCGGACATCGACGTCGCGACGATCAGAGCCAAGGCTGCGATCAGAGCCAGGTCCTCGACCGGGCGGCCGCGGAGCGCGCCGGTCGCGCGGAAGCCGCTGACCCCGAGCGAACGCGTCGTCGCGCAGCACGGCGGCGGCGCCGTCGGCGTCCTCACCGCGGAAACCGCGGAGCGGAAAGAGACGACCGCGCGGACGCTGAAGAATGCGCCGGCGCGCGTGCTCGCGAACAAAGCCGGGTTCTCGCACAGCGTCGTGGGGACGCGCGACGGGGACGGGAGGCTCGTGAGCGCGAGGGTGTTCGCCGCGCGGACGCCGACGGCGCTCGAGCGCGTGGCGACGGCGCGCGAGAGAAACGTTGGGGGAACGATGGTGGGCGCGTTGTCAAGCGCCGCGAGCTCGAGGGCGTCGAGCCGTCCGTCGAGCGCGGCGTCGGCGAGCAGGGGGACGTCGTCGTCGTCGTCCGCGTTTCTCTCGGCGTCGAGAGCGCGGGCGCCGACGTCCGAGAACGTCACGGACGATTGGGTCGGCGAAGGCCGAGGCCGCGCCGGCGCCGGGCGAGTCGTCGCGGGCGTCGCGACGATCGACGACTCGGCGGACGTCAAGCCGCTCAAACCGGACGAGGACGCGGACGAGGTTCGACCGGTGAAGATCTCCGTGTCTAGGTACGGAAGCAAGCCCGCGAGCTTCTACCCGAAGGGCGTCTTGATCGAGGCGAACGCGCCGACGACGATCGAGTCGCGCGCGTCGCCGCCGAAGCGTTTTTTACCTTTGGAGGGCGACGCGCGCGGCCCGCGGCAGTCGACGCGAGCGAAGCAGCAGGAGATCGCGAACGCGACGGCGAGGCTCCGGGAGGAGAACGCGACGCCCCTAGGCTCGATCGAGGCGACGGCGTTCGACCGCGGCTGCGAGGGGGTGGGCGGGTCCCTGAAAGGGTCGCTCAGAGGGTCGCTGCGGGGGTCGCCGACGTCGAGCCCGCGCGCGGACAAGCGGAACGTCACGTGGGGTTGACGCGTTCGTTGACGAGTTCTCGTCTCCGAGTCGGGGCATCTACTAGTCTAAAATACGTCTATGAAGGTCTCTAACTAAAGTAGTCTACTCTACGCGTCGTCGTCGTCGTCGTCGTCGTCGTCGTCACCGTCGCTCCGGGGACAGCGTCGTCATCGGCGCCAGCTCCAACGTCGTCTCGTCGTCGTCCTCGTCCTCGTCATCGTCCTCGTCGTCGTCGACCGCGCCGACCGCGTCGAGGTCTTGGTACTTGTACGCGTACAGACCGCGAGGATAATCGCTTCTCCCGCCGCCGCCGCCGCCGTCGAAACCAAATCCGTCGTCGTCCCCGCGGGCCCCCTCCTCCGGATCCCCCGAGGTCTTCAACCACGAATAAAAAAACGCGATCAACACCGGGGACGTCAGCGTGACCAAACCGATGATCCCCCACAGCGATCTTCCGTCGCACGCGCGTCCTTCCCTCCCCGCGATCTCCGGGCAGTCGCGCTCTTCGCCGCCGTACCTCGAGGGTCGTTCCATACAAGCGAATGTCGGGGTGGAGTTGAAAGGCGTCAGGTGGAGTTGAAAGGCGTCGAGGTGTGAGCGTCGGGATTGAAACCGTGGCGTGGGCGTAGAGATGCGCCGGGCAAAGTCCTTAAGAAACGGCGTTCACCACGCCAACGCGGTCGTATGGGAACCAGTGTGTAGAACGCACCTCGAAGGGCAGTACTCCTGGAGTAGATACCCGCCCAGGATCCCCGTGGGGAGCTTCGCGAGGAACAGCGGCGCGAGCGCTGAGGGTCGAGGGAGGGTCCATCGTATGAAGCGACGTATGTCGGGGTGGAGTTCATTCAGGGGTGAGTCAGATGGAGTTGATGAAAGGCGTCGAGGTGCGTCGGGATCGAAAGCGAGGGGGGGCGCGCGGAGAGAAACGCCGGGAGAGAAAGTCCTTAAGTAAGGAACCGCGTTCGTTCAACACGCGAACGGAGTCGTATGTATGGGGAGGGACCAGTGTGAGGAAAGGAATACGCACCCAACGCGCCGAAGACGCCCTCCTTCCCCGCGGGCGCCATCGCCATCGTGTAGTCGTACCACCGCGGCGACCACATCATCTCGCCGATCGACAGCGTCACGACGAAAAGCACCGCGCCCGGGATGGACTGCCACGCGGCGAGGATAAACGGCGACAACGACGTGATCCAGCTCCCGCGGAAGATCATGTCGAAGTGTCGCGCCGTCGCGGTGACGGACGACACCAACGGGACGCCGACGATGATCAACGCCGGGTTGATTGCGTATATCGACCCGAAAGGCGCGTCGCAGCCGAACGCTCTCACCGCAAACTTAGGAAACGTCGCGTCCATGTGCCGGAAGATTTGCTTCAGGTTTAACGTGAACATCGCCATCGCGAGGAACTGGTAGAACCGCGGCGTTCGCAGGAGGCTCGACGTCGGCGCTCTGATGGAGCGATCGAACGCGCGCTTCGCCTTAGACGCGGCGGCGAGCACCGCGGCGAAGACGCCGGCCGCTCTCGCGCGACGGAAGAAACCACCGAATTCGTCGTCGTCGTCGTCGTCGAACCTCTCGTACGCCCCGCCGCCGCCGCCGCCGCCGCCCGCGTCTCCCGCGTCTCCCGCGGGGACGTCCCTGAACCGCCACGCGACGACCAACGCGAGCGCGCTCGTGACCACCGTGCTCAGCAGCACCACTCGCGTCGGAGACGCCAACGCGTCCCCGGCGCCGTCGATCCCGTTCGGCAGTCCCAACCGCAGCGCGTCGATCGCGAGCCCGCTCAGCAGCGCCGCGACGTTCATCATCGCGTAGAACAGCCCGAACGATACGGTCCGGTCGGCGTCCGCGGTCAGGCGTTTGATCGCGATCGTCATCACCGGCGCGCCCCACGACGCCGCGAGCGGCTGCGCGGTGAAGACCCCCGGTTGAAAGGCGGCGGTTGGAGTCGAAAGGCGTCAGAAGCGGAGTTGAAAGGCGTCGAGGGGCGTGTGTCGGGATTGAAAGCAGCGAGGGACCCTGGGCGGAGAGTGACGACCGCCGGGAGACAAAGTCCTTAAGGATCGACGTTCACCACGCGAACGGGGTCGTATGGGGACCAGTGTGAATCAATCAGAACGCGCCTGCGCGGTGAACATGATCGTCAGCGCGAGCGCGGCGTCCGTCGTGAACGTCAGCGCGAGCCTCGAGGCGATCTGAAGGACGTACGACGCGCACAGCGACCGCCGAACGCCCACGACGTCGATCAAGAACCCGGTGAGGAGGCCGTAGAGCGTGATCGCGGTGCCCCAGCCGCCGTAGTACGCGCCCGCCGCGACGTCGCTCACGCCGAGCTCGTTCGTGAGATAGAGCGTGAAGATCTCGGAGAGCGCGAAGTAGCCGTACGAGTCGAGCGTCTTGAGGACGTACACGAGCCACAGCTCGGTGGGCGCGGCTTTGAGGAGGTGGAGCGGGCGGCGGAGGGAGGCGCGCAGGGCCTCCCGCCACGCCGGCGCCATGATGGCGCGCGGGGCGGGGGGGTGTGGCGGTCGGATCTCGCGGGAAAATGACGAGTTCGCTTTTTGACGCGACCAGACCGGACGCGGACGGACGTTGACGAGAATATTCCTTCATCACTTCGCCGCGCGCGGCATGCTGTCCACGCTCGCGAAGGTCGCGTCCCTCAGCGTCGGCCCGTTCGCTTCCACGCCCCCGCCCTCCCCACCTCGCGGCCGCGGCGCGTCGCGCGCGTCGATCGCGTCGCGCGCGATGGCGAGCGAAAACGACGCGAGCGCCTCCGACGCGATGAAGAAGAAGAAAACCAATGATGTCGTCAACCCGCACGACACGATCCGATGCTTGAACGACCAAGGGCGCGAGGTCGAGCTCGCGACGACGGAGACGCTCGCGTCGCTGACGGACGCGCTCTTGGTGGACGTGCGATCGCCGCCGGAGATCGAGGAGCGCGATATGGCAACCCCGGACGCGCTGAACGTGTGGTGGAACAAGCAGGAAGGGGGGTTCCATCACCCAGAGCTGCTGGAAGGCGTGCCTAAAGATCGACCGATCGTGACCAACTGCGGGAGCGGCGGCAGAGCGGGGCTCGCGAAGAAGTATCTGGAGG